TTTTTATAATTCGTATGATGATGAATATGAAACTTGTTTAATTTGTTTGCTTGTTGCAACCGACATATTGAGAAGCCAATTCAAAATTTGCAGTTAGCTATCATTTTTACCCACTTATATTCGTATTATTAAAACTTCAAATGCATGCACACGTAAGTGGTAAACATATTCATTATGTATCCCTCTCTATAAGATTTTATGTGTTGGTGAATTTTGTATTTCCCTATTTTTTTGTAATCAGTTTAAGTTAATAAATATATATATATATATATATATATTTTGTATTTCTCATCCTACCGAAACCCTTCATGATATGCATATAGTTTTAAGAAAAATATATTTATACTCGTTATTGGTAAGTTAATCGGTGTACTAGTTTATTCACCTAAAACAGAGAATTTTCAAGATCACGAATTCGAACACCCGGTGATAAGATAAAACTTCTCGGTTACAAAAGAAAAATACATCCAAATTAAGATTTTATTGTTAGTTTCAGTTTTTGATAGCTGTTATTTACTATATCATTTATATATGATAAAATGCAGAAAAATAATGTTTGAATCCATCATATTTTGGAAGTGTTTGGCAAAAGACTAAAATGTTATGAATTTATTTAGGAAGAAATAATGAAGATAAATATAGTATTTTGGTACGTAAACTTGTATAATAAAGTTGTGTTGATAAAATCTAGGATCAGTTTGTGATAGCAATTAGAAACAATCCTAAGCCAAGTTATGTGTACGTAATACGCGAGTAAATCATATAGTCAAGGTGACTAATTAATTAGTGGCACGAAGCCACGAACTTAACATCTAGGCCTGGGAGTTCGGTGAAATCGGGTTATTCGGGTCGGGTTATTCGGTTTTGGAGAAATTCGGTTTTTAAAAAATCTTTCCGAATTGAACCGAAATTAATTTCGGTTCGGATCAATCGGTACTCGGGTTATTCGGGTCGGTTATAGGGTTTAAAATTAATTCCGAAATTAAACCGATAGTTTTCTATTTCGGTTAATTTGAACCGAATTACAAAAAAAAAGGGATATTGGGCTGAAAACAAAGCCCAAACTCATTACATAATCAAAATGCATTAACAAATTTACAAACCCAATTAATATATTTACAAGGCCCAACCCATTAAAAATTAGGGTTTTCACGAGGCAGCCACATCGACGGCAAGGGCGAGGCAACGACGGCGAGGGCGAGGCAGCCACGGTGACGATGATGTTAGATCTTTACGTCTGATAAAGCTTGTTATTTGCCAACTGCAAGAAAATCTGCTACCAACAAGATCTATTAAATATCATCATCATAACCACATAAAAGTAAAAAAAAATTGAAAATCCAACTAAGAGTGCTCAGATCTAAAGAGTAACCAATGAATCCAGCCGTGAGTTTGGTGATGAAAACGAGTTTAGCGAGTAAACAACAAAGAATCAGAAGAGAAAAAAGATAAAAAGAGCTTATCGCAAAAAAAATTGTGGTTACGGGTGAAGAAAGAAGAAGAGCTAACAACAATTGATGAAGAAAAAGAAACGTGGTGCTGATAATGGCTTAGGTTGGAGAAGAAGATGAACTCGGCTTTAGTTTTGATAGAGGCAGAGGCGCAGAGGCGCAGAAGAAAATGAATTATGAAACCAAATTAGGGTAAATGACTCAATATCCTTATATATGGCTGCAGATTCTCGGTTCTAGGTAAACCGATCGGTTCCGATTACCGAACCGACCCGAACCGAAATCCGATTACCCAAATTAATTTCGTCGGTCGGTTAAGAAGAAGCTGTTCGGTTTATGCCGATAACCGAAAATGTCGGTTTGATCGGGTCGGTTTAATCGGTTTGATCCGAACTCCCAGGCCTATTAACATCCCATGAACCTATTGTTTATCTCTTTGTATAAATAAATACTTATAGGATAGGAATATATAAGAAAATAAAAATAGTAACAAGATCCAAGAATTTTGAATAGACTTTTTACCCTTTATTTAATTTTGTGCCTCCTCATTAAAAGAAGGGCAGAATAAATTTAATCGACATTCCCACTCAAGAACCCAAAGTCAACTTCGCAAATCTTATGATACATGGTGCAGGACAAATTATATGTAAAGTGATGTATAAATTATGATTTATCGCATGGTGCACCGCAATGATATAAATTTGGCCACCCTTTTTGTTCCCTTCTTCCACGTTTCCGCTATACTCTTACATATTTCTTCTTCTACTGTTTGGTCTTTATTTTGTTTTCAATACAAAAAAAACTTTCATTATCTTTCATAATCTTGAAATGTTTTCTTCGATAAAACCAATTTTAGTTAGCAAACAAAATACACTTGCTCTCATTTTATCTACAACATAGACTTTCTAACGTGATTATATTGCTTACAACGTCATCATTTACATCATCACAATTTATGTTTAACCACTATAAATTTCACATAATAACTCGAGATATTATTAATCTAGACTTCATTTAAACAAGAAATTGATAAAGAAAGCAACAACATGATACTCATATACTCCTTCATAATGATGACAATCATGGAGCTTAGGAAAATAACACATCTCTACTTTGTTTCACCTATTTATGTTTTTGCCATTTTTACCCCTTTTCCGTTGCCGCCAAAATCAGAAGTGCTCTGGGGCCAGTAATACTATATGGTCAAATGGACTCAACGTACCTTTCACCCTTTTTCTTTTCGATAGCGATGTCGCCAATATAAAAGTGTGCATTATGGGGTAGTTATGTCAATTACACAAGATCTCTTTCTCAATCTCCAAGAAGAGGAAAAATTAAGATTATTATGATCCCAATGTTATTTGAAGGGTAACTTCAGAGTTTTGTTCTATAGTTTTGTTTAAGAGTTTAGTTAAGTTACTAAACACTTCATTGTTCAATGTTTCTATTCCCAAACTCCAACACACTGTATCTTAAATAGAGGTCATTTGGGACACCACGATTTGGTCCCCTTCAAGAATATTATTTCATTTCCAATATTGATCATTTTCATTGTTCAATGTCTCTCTCTCTTTTCTTTTTCTTTTTGTTGAAAGAAAATGTATAAGCTGATTAGTCACATCGTAGCAAACTTCCTTGATTTAGTTATGTGATTAATCAGTCGTTAATCGTCTATTATTCGGCTAAACCTATTTTTTGGGACTAATTTAGTCATTAGTCCAAATTGATCAAACAACGCGTTCTTGAAAACTAAACCTTATTAATATAATCACGAATACATTTGGTTTCTTTACTAGAGAATGATGATTTATGATTTTAAAACTTAGCAGATTCAATGTACTTAGTGAACCATATAACCTTTGACTGTTGAAATTTATAGTAATTTACTTTATCAATCCTCCCAATTACTTTATCAAAGTTATGGGGCCAAATGTTTAAATTGTAAAGTTATGGAGTGAAACTTAAATTACATAAATGCTCCTCCAAGGAGAAGAAGAGTATAGAATCTAGCCAGAGGTTCTATCACCACCAAAACCTGATTGTAAGAAGCCGGTTTGGTCGAGATGACTCACATCGCCCCAAACTTGGATAGTCCATTTCTCTCCATCGAATAAACGGAACACATTGACCGATGTATTGAGTATCTTTTCAACTTTTCTTGCACTTGGACGAGCTCTTTCGTGTAGAGATCGAATCACACCTCCATGAGTCACTACTACTACTCTTTCACCTTCATCACCAAGTAAGTAAGTAAATAAACCAACACTTAGCACATATTTGTTATGTAGTAAACTGTGAGAAACAAACACACAAGAAAAGAAAGATACCTTTATGTTTGTCGCCGATTCTCTGTAATGCAGTTGTACATCTATCGTAAAGTTTGTCAAGACTTTCTCCTCCACCCTTCATTCATATAAATGCAGCAAAACTTGTTGAATCAAGAAACCAAGCATCCATCATTCATAAATATCTAAGATTTTTGTTAATAATATCTTACTGGAATATCAACGTCTGTGCGGTTAGATGAAAAGGCCTTGTAAGCTTCCGGGCGAATTTTCGAAGCTTCTTGATACACAAGCCCTTGCATATCTCCTAAATGCCTTTCCCGTAAATCACGATCAGTAAGTACCTACACAAACATTATTCACAGTTCAACTTCTATAGTATCAAGAAAGCCATATGTTACAGCTTCACAATGGTAGATATAAAAAGGTTCTTTCAGAACTTAAAAACCGACACAAAAAATAGCAGAAAGGTGGAAACTTTAAAAGCAGAACCTTAAATGTCTATGAAGTTTTTTTATACCTCAAGCTTGCCACATTTAGCAGCAATGATCTGAGCAGTCTCAAAGGCTCTCTTCAAGTCAGAAGAGTAGACATGAGCTATCTTCGGCTCCTTCGATAACCGCTCCGCAACCTTCATGTTTCAAAGGAAAGAAAGTCATCATCATGATCATCATCATCATCAAGATTCAAGGTTACAAGACAATCAAAAGACAAATGTTAAAAAGTGGAGACACATGACACATACTCTCTGTGCTTGTTGTCTTCCTGCATCATTTAACTCAACATCCAAATGACCCTGTAACAACACATAAACCAATTATAACCACATTTCAGCATCTCTAATCAAGATTCCCAAAAACTATACATTGACAATCACAACGATACTAATCATAACTAAATACATGATAAAGATTCGACATTTACGATTTTAAGTCAAGTTTCGATTCCGAAGATAGAATTCAAAACTTGCCTGGATTTTTCTCTCTGCATTCCAAGATGTCTCTCCATGACGAACAACAACAATCTCAGCATAATCAAGATCTTCTTCACAACTGTAGTAAAACCAACATAAAGTTTCCATCAACAACAACAAAACAAAACAAAAAACACGATCAGAGAGAAGCTAGAAGAAACATACTCGAATCTTGATTCCTCCATGGGAGATGCTGAGAAATGAAATCGGATCCAACGACGATAAGAGAACCATTCCAGTTTCCAATAACACTAAGTGGGCTTTACTGGATTTTGTTAATGGGCCTTTGCCTTTGCGAAACGAAGCAAATTTTTGATAAAACTTCTAGAATGAAATTGAGCTAATATTTTATTTCTGGATAATCATGAATTCAGTTTTATCTAGAATTATTATCCATTTTCTTTCAAAAATATTATCTAAACTTAATATTTTTTGTACTATATAAATAAAATTGCGTGGTAGGAAATTTGACCTAAATCTGTGTTGATCGATTTTAGGTTCTTTCTCAAAACGCATTTTACAACTAGGGAAGAGAATTTGAAGAAGTTTTGTTTTGGTAAAACTGGATCTCTCTATTGATCTCCTTTTTAGTTGATTTCGTTTTATATATCCATTCTTCATCTCCAAATATGGTTCAAGCTAGAAATCAGGTGATGTTTCACTTAGATTCATCTTCTTTTATACATTAAGGTTTGTGTTTTGACCTTCCCTAACATATCTGAGTGGACAACACAATCCACGATTTTTATTGGTTATTACTATTCAGAAATCTTAATCTCCTTACTGTTTACAATTCATGATGAAAAACTTCGTACGTTTTCTTCTTTTTATCATACGATTTTTTTTTTTTCATGTTACCGATTTTCGTGTTTGAGAAAAAGAATCTGTAACTTTGTTGGTTTGATTCGGTTTAAAAGGAAAAAAATTACATCATGTATTTCGATATATTTAAATGTATTTTGTATGTATTCTAGAAATTATAAAAAAAAAGGGGTATAATTTCGTCTTCTTTCTTTCTTTCACAGATTATGTTGTTTCATCAAATGGACAAAATATCGACACCATGCGCGGCATGCAAGCAGCTGAGGAGAAAATGCACAAAAGATTGTGTGTTTGCGCCTTACTTCCCCACGACCAAACAAGAAAACTACGAAGCGGTCCACAAGGTATTCGGTGCAAGCCATGTGGCTACACTTATCAACGATCTGCACCCATTGAAGAGAGAATTTGCCATGAACAGCCTCGCTTGGGAGGCACGAGTTCGTGTCAAAGATCCGGTCTATGGCTGCACGGCTATCATTGACCGCCTCGAAAGTCAGCTTAAAGACTCGGAAGAACAACTCGCGATGGTCAAGAACGAGCTCGCCTCTTACGGTATCGTCCCGACATGTGTGCCATCGCCTCCGATGATGTATCAGCAAATGCATAACAATCCTATGACGATATCGGAATATACACCTAACAATGGTGGTTTTTTAACGGGTCAACAGTTACATGACGAGGCACAACGTTTTGTATCCACACAACGCGCTCAAATGCAGCAAACGCAAGAGACGCAGACGCAGCACAATGAGATTGACCGTGACTAAAATGTCGTATCAAAGATTTGAACCATGCTTTACATTTAATCATATAGTCTTGATAACAATGGTAACCTTTTTTAATTTTTTTAAAGTCTTGTGTCTAGTCGTTGGTACATAACTACAAGCGCCCAATGCCTTTTATAATTTGTTAAGCAACGGAGTCAAAATCCTTTATACGGTATGATGGTCTTTTCTTTTGTGAGTGAAATTGTCTTTTTACGTGTTTTAACTTATAAGTATAAGTATCGTTACGAACTATCAAAACATCCGTTATCGTCCAGCGGTTAGGATATCTGGCTTTCACCCAGGAGACCCGGGTTCGATTCCCGGTAACGGAGCTTTTTTTGTTTTTAAGATTCGTAAAAAGGACTTTTTTCACCACGTCACTAAATTTCCGTTAAACTCAGCGTTAGTCAACGGATGTTTTACCTCATATGTGCCACTGGTGCAACATCTGACTTTGAAGCTATTTTTTTCTTCCCAATTTTATTAATTATACCTTAGCATAATCCGGATCTTTACACAATTTGATTATTTATATTACAAACATTTATATAAGTGTATATTATCTTTTACAAACTGAGACTCAAATATGATTCAATCAGGATCTTAAGTCAATTCAATTACTTATACTAATCAAGAAAAATTATTCTAAAATTTTATTCGATAATGATCTCTTCCAATAGTTTTGCCTAAACATAAGGAAAATATCACTCGGAGACGTTCATTAAAAAAAGCTACGCGAATATATATAAGTAAGAGGAATAGAACATGCTTATAAGAAAATTGTAAGATCACCAATATATAGACGTCGTCTCCTGGTTACGACGTCTCCTGGTAAGAAATTTATTAACCAGGAGACGACGTCTATATGTATACATTTTTGGCACAGATGACACAACAACAAGACCATCAATATTCATTTGTAAGATCACCTCTTTGAGGCATCTAACTAGTATTTTGATTATTATTTGGATTTGGATTTCAATTGCTGAAGTTGTGTTATCATTTTTCGATTTTAGTTGTATTTAATATTTGAATCTCGAGATCAGAGTTTTTATGGATTAGATAAGCAAATGTCAATTATTTATTTTTTCTTTTAGTTTTTGGTAAAGCCTTAATTGTATAATAATAGGGGTTTTCATGATAAAACATAAGCTTATTAACGGACAAAGATATATGAATGATAAAGAACCATAAATTACATTGGACTCCAAAGGATTCAGAGATTCATACATGATACATCGGTGTGTCTTGGTGTTGGTGTCATCATGCTTTGAAACGTACTTTATAGAATTGGATGGATTTTTTTTTCAAAGTTGGTTTTATGACTGAAAATTTCAAATCATCACAGAGGAATAATGTTGGGGTTTTGCAGGATTTATTTATTAATGTTGGTCCTATATATATAGTGAATGCTTCTATTAAGTGTGGAGCTAGCTCTTCATCTTTTAATTTGCACGTGAATGTTTCCCGCAGCGAAAATAGTAATACAACGTGGTAAAGAAGTTATTTGTTTGTTTGTTAGAGTAGTATAAAGTAAACGAATAAATTAGCTATCAGTTTTTTAATTAATTGTTACATTTCTATTTTTTACGAAAATATATATCTTGTAAATAAATATGAAAAATTTAACTATCGTATTAAAATAATTTTTTAATTGTATTTTAGCTCACACAACAAAAGATGTTTTGCTGAAATTGCCCTATAGTAGTTTAATAACAAAAATTATTTATGAAAAAAATCATATTTATTTGGAGTAGATTTTGGCCAAATTGCCACTAATCTTTTAAGATAATTTGTGGCAATTTACGGAACATATTCTATACTACTCGTACAAAATTGACATTAATCTTTTAAGATAATTTGTGGCAAATTACGAGACAAAGTCTATGACTACTCGTACAAAATTGCCACAAATATTCAGTGGCATAACATTATGTGGTTTTTGTTGTTTGGGTTTGTGTCTGTTTTTTACTATTTTGGACCTGCATATTAGTTTGTTGTTTTTGCTTTGTGTCTTTTGGTTTTTGGGTTGGTTGCAAGTCCATTAAACTAATCTAGTAAGAGGATTAGCTTAAGACAAAAAAGTTGGTGTTCTAAGGAATAGGGTGGCTCTTGTGCCATAGGTGTTGCTTGTGTGTGTGTGTTTTCTATACAAGTATGAGTCCATGTAGAAGATGAAAGGTATGAGTTGAGTCTCTTTTTGAAATTGAAAAGAGTTTGAGAAAAAGAACATTTTTTGTGAGTTCAACAGACATTAAAATAAATAGTGGTAAATAAATAAAAAACTTTAGATACGCTAAATTAGTGAAAGAATTTAATTATTTTTTAAACGCAAACGAAAAAACAATTCGGAGGAATTTGAAAAAAAGATTTTCCTTTAAACGACAAAGATGGAGCTAACAGAAAAAAAAATCACCAAAACGCGGCGGCTTTTGTCGTATCAAAGCAGATAACTAAAACAAACAAAACGGTGCCCTTTCAAACCTCTCTCTCCTCTTATCTAACTTAGAGAGCGACCAATAATTGCCTTTGTCTTCCTCATTCGTTGATCCATCTTTTTCCCCAAATTTATCCCTTCTTTAGATATTTTTCCACGCGAAGCTTCTTCTTCGGGATTTGTACTAATCTGATGTGATTGAGAAGAGTTAAGGAGTAGAAGAATCAGAAAATGGATCCGGCGGCGACTAATTCACCGATTATGCCGATTGATTTACCGATTATGCACGACAGTGATCGTTACGACTTCGTTAAAGATATTGGTTCTGGTAATTTCGGTGTTGCTCGTCTCATGACCGATAGAGTTACGAAGGAGCTTGTTGCTGTTAAGTACATCGAGAGAGGAGAAAAGGTTTCGTTTTTATTTTATTTTTAATGAAAAAGATTTGATATTTATAGGCTTTAGTGATTGATGATTGATCACAAAGATTTCGTTTTTTTTTTGGTTTCCAGATTTAGTACCTTTCCTTTTTAGAGTTTGTTGATCTAGTCTTTAATGGTGTTGTTACTGTTACCATGATTAATGCTTTGAAAAGTTTTGACATTTCTCAATAACTGATCACTTTTTTTGTGTTGCAGATTGATGAAAATGTTCAGAGGGAGATTATTAATCATAGATCATTGAGACATCCTAATATTGTCAGGTTTAAAGAGGTATAGTATTATAATACACCTTGATGTTGCTTATGTGTGTTTTGTGTTATAAGTCAGTGTGGTTTAGAGCTTTGATAATGTTTTAGGTGATTTTGACGCCTACCCATTTGGCTATTGTTATGGAATATGCTGCTGGTGGAGAACTTTATGAGCGGATTTGTGTTGCAGGGCGGTTTAGTGAAGACGAGGTTTGGATTTTGATTGTCTTGTTTTTCTTAGTATCGATGTGTGATTACTGATCTTTGAGTTTTTTTTGTATAGGCTCGGTTCTTCTTTCAGCAGCTTATATCTGGAGTTAGCTATTGTCATGCAATGGTATTCAGAGCTGTGTTCTTGCAACTTACTTGAAATATTTTTGTTTACGTTTGTTTCTTTTGGAGAGTTCAATGATTCACTCTGGTAAATAATTCTGTGTTAATTTCCCTGTGAAGCAAATATGCCATCGGGATCTGAAGCTGGAAAATACATTGTTGGACGGAAGTCCGGCACCTCGTTTGAAAATATGTGATTTTGGATATTCCAAGGTACTATTTCTCTCAAGGTTTGTTCTCTGTATTCCTAGTTTATATATGCGACAGTATGGCCCTGCTCAAAACAGCGGGGAACATCATGTGATTCCTCGTTGTGCTTCTTATCGCTCATGCTCTTTACCTGTCATGTGTTTCCTACTGAGTTTCATTGAAGTGTCTGTTTCTGCTTAAGTCCTAACTATGCATTTCTTTTCTGCAGTCTTCTGTGCTTCATTCCCAACCAAAGTCAACTGTTGGTACTCCTGCTTACATTGCACCAGAGATTCTTCTTCGACAGGAATATGATGGCAAGGTAAGGCCTTGAGACCAATTCCTCTGTCTAGAGTTAAATCAGCTTATCCATGACTGTTTATACCACACATTTTCCTTGAGTTGTCTTCTGAATTATGCGGGTGTTACATTTTTCCAGCTTGCAGATGTATGGTCATGCGGTGTAACCTTATATGTAATGTTGGTTGGAGCTTATCCATTCGAGGATCCACAAGAGCCACGAGATTATCGAAAGACGATACAAGTAATGTTTTTCAATTGTTCTTGCTGTTTCATTCATCATCATCCACAACCTTGTTATACTCATTATCCTTCAAACTTTGATTGTGTATATGTTTGCTTCTCCATTGATTTTAAAACGCAGAGAATCCTTAGTGTCACATACTCGATCCCAGAGGACTTACACCTTTCACCAGAATGTCGCCACCTAATTTCGAGGATTTTCGTGGCCGATCCTGCAACAGTAAGTTTTACACTTAAAGCAAACTTTGTTCTTTAAAGCATTTTGAGTTCAAAATAGACAAACTGAGAGACCCAATGTGGCAGAGAATCACTATTCCGGAGATCACATCCGATAAATGGTTCTTGAAGAATCTTCCGGGTGATTTGATGGATGAGAACAGAATGGGTAGTCAGTTTCAAGAGCCTGAGCAGCCGATGCAGAGCCTTGACACAATAATGCAGATAATATCAGAGGCTACGATTCCGACTGTTCGTAATCGTTGCTTTGATGATTTCATGGCGGATAATCTTGATCTAGACGATGACATGGATGACTTTGATTCCGAATCTGAGATTGATGTTGACAGTAGTGGAGAGATAGTTTATGCTCTCTGAGATTCCGAGGACAAAACATACTTTGTCCGTACTGTTGAGACACACCAGTGGAGTTTTGTCTTAGCTCCACTCCATCGTTCATTTTTGGATCGTTTGTTGTTTTTTACTCTACAACCTTTGGATTCACATACATATATGTATTGTAATGTAATGTGTAATATATTTCTGAATTTCTCTTTGTTCAATACAAACCACTGGCACACTTTATACAAATTATATTGGCATTAGGTCTGAAAATAAGGAATTCTCCAAATTATTACAAAGTTGAATCTACATTTTAGATTATTCATATTAATACATATGAGTGATTTAACACAATTGGTACAGCAAGAATCATCACTGCACGGCGAATCGGATCGCATGGCATTTGTTCTGTTTTCTTGAACACCAGCCGATGTTGATATCAATCTTCAGTTTCCAACCATCATTAGAACATTCAGCATTTTTTTCTGAAGATCGGTCTGTTTCTTCGACAATATCTTGATTAGTACTTTGCAAGGTGCTACAATTGCTTTTGACACAAGTACACTCTGTTGGTTGACGCATGATTTTGTCAAGTTTAGTGCTCATTTCAGACATCTTGGCCTTGAGCTCTTTGATATCTGCCAATTGATTGATTTGAAGATCCACATCTATCACCCATTTTAATCTAGCTTCCAACTCTTTGATTTTTCTCATGTACCTAAAGATAAACAGCACAATACACATGTTATTGACTTATTTCATAGTACATGATAGGTTTTGCAAGATTTAGTGTTGGGACAATATGGAAATCACATGTAGAAACCATTTAGCACAAACCACTAGGTTATGTATCATTGTCCGTAAATGATCTTCTAATAAACAAAAAATATATGAGATTTGGATAAAGCAAATCAAGCTGAAAATAAAACCAAACCACAGACTTAAACCGAAACCAAACCAATAAAAATTCATGTAATATATACAAACCTTAACTTCTTGAGTAAGTTTCTGCGTCTCAGCTCCGCATTATTCTCAACAAGAGAAGCAGCGGTTTTAAGGAGAAGCTTAAGATCTTCATTGACTCTCCTTGATTGTGGATCTTCCATTTCTTCACTGACCTTATCGATTTGAAGCAGCAACGGAGTGATACTATCGATTGTAGCTTTGAGACGGTCTAAGATGAATCTTGTGGTTACAGATCTATCTCTTGCTCTTTTGACGGCCTCCTGAAGGACACCGAGAGCAATTCCAAGAGCACCCCCTGCAAAAACCTCACCAATCATTTTCTTGAAATTAGTTCTTTAGCTCTTGAGGTGAATGTATGGAACCATTGAAGAGTCTTTTGTTTAACAATTAAACCGTGTTTTTTTTGATGAATTGATATATGAAGACAAAAGACATTGACTTATAGAATTAGTAGAGTCTTGTCCCGGTTATCTCATCTTTCTTTCTAGATGAAAGGGGATTGATCTACATGCAAGTTGTTGTGGGTATTAATTACGAAGAAGAAGTGAAAATCGATCTCAATTATTTACTTTTTACGTAGAATCGTGGAATGGCACATTTGCACTGATATTCCAAAAATCTTAATTTACAAATAGGTTGGAACCGATCTTGTTTTGTATTTTTACAAAGCATACGTTTATACATATGTATTTTGGCTTATCCTATGTATGATCAACGCAATATTCGTGAATAGAAACGTGAATACTAACAATTTCGGTTAATACCGACCATAAATACTAACACTAAAATCTATGACTTTTAAAAATAATAATCAGTCAAATTCTTACCATTTGATTATTTTATTTCTCAGTTTTTAGGCCTACGACACACATGCCACATCAAAAAAAAAAACTATTGGGACATTTTATACAGATTATATGGCATTAGATCTAAGAAAAATAAGGAATTCTCCAAATTATTCCAAACTTGAATCTACATTTGAAATTAATCCTATTATCACATTTCTGTGATTTGACACAATTGGTACATTAAGAGTCATTACTTCAAGAAGAATCGGATTTCACGGTCTTTGTTCAGCTTCCTTGAACTCCAGTGAATGTGGATATCAATCTTCGGTTTAGATCCATCACTCGAACATTCAACATTTTCTTCTAAAGATCGGTCTGTCTCTTCGACAATATCTTGATTACTACTTTGTGATGTGCTATGATTGCTCTTGAAACAAATACAATCAGTTGGTTGACGAGTGATTTCGTCAAGTTTAGTGTTCATTTCGGACATCTTAGCCATGAGTTCTTTGATATCTACCCATTGACTGACTTGAACATCCACATCTACCATCCATCTTAATGAAGCTTCTAACTCTTTGATTCTTCTCTTATACCTAAAGATCAAAAACACAAAAATAATTAATACGCTTGTTGTTTCATTAAAAATAATAGGTTTTGTTAGATTTATGTTGAGAGATTACGAAACTCACATATATAAATACTCATCTAAGAAAAAGATTTCACTTGAAAAGAAGAAGAAATTTCTTTGAATCGAAATCGATGTTAACCGTCCCTAATCCAAGAGATCTTATTTATAAACACCTTGAAATTAATCACTGTGAGTCAGGATATCAATCTAAGGTTCTAATGGTATCCATATTTTTATGCTATCTCAAATAGTAACAAAAAAGGAAGATTTTTTTGGAAACTATTAAATTTAAGAAAACAAGGAGACTTCATGTAAACAATAACTCATGCATTTCATGGATTGTATACAAACCTGAACTTCTTGAGTAAGTTTCTGCGTCTGAGTTCCGCATAAGCCTCGACAAGAGAAACAGCCTTTTCAAGGAGATGCTTAAGATCTTTGATAACCTTCCTCGGTGAATCTTCCACTTCTTCGCTAAGCTTATCGACTTTAGCCACCAACGGAGTGATCCTAAAGATTGTAGCATCAAGACGGTCCAAGATGCATCTTGTGGTTAAAGATCTATCTTTTGCTTTTTTGATGGCGTCGTGAAGGACTTGGAGAGCAAGTCCAAGAGCAGCCCCTGCCATAAGCTCACTAACCGGCATTATTCTTAAGATTAGATTAATCGCGATTAGGATCGAGAGATTAGCTCTTTAGCTCTCAACGTGAATGTATGGAGGAATCTATGTACATGGAACCATTGAAGAGTCTTTTGTTTAACAAAACGTGTTGTTTTTGATGAACTATATGAAGACAAGAGACATTGACTTAAAAGACTTTGAATTGGTCGACTCTCTTTCTTTCTAGGTGAAAGGAGATGATTGGATCTATATGCAAGTTGTTGTGATTTTTAAATGACGAAGCTGAAGAGAGAATCAATCTCAATGATTGACTTTGTAGGTAGGATTAATCGTTGACTTGTATACTTGCATTATAAATATCCAAAAATCATAATTTACAAATTATATAGTTGTAACCAATCTTTTTTTTTTTTTTTTTTTTTAAAAGAAACTTAATTTTTTTACATTTGATTATTTTTCTTCGCAAATTTTTGTGGTCTATGACACATATACCACATCAAAGAAACTAATTCAAAACGAATCGAACTCCGTGATCTTTGCTTTTCTTGCTCCATCGAAGGTGGATATCAATCTTCGGCTTAGAATCGCCATTTGAGCATCCAGCTTTGGCTTCCAATGATGGATCAACTCTTTCGACTATGTCCAGATTAGTATTATCCTCATCAGATATAATACAATCTATTGGTTGGCCCATGATTTTATCTAGTTTAGTGTTCATTTCAGACATCTTGGCCATGAGATCTTTGATATCTGCCCATTGATTCACTTTAACATCAACATCTACCATCCATTTCAATGAACCTTCTAACTCTTTAATTCTTCTCTTGTACCTAAAACAACATTACACTTTAGTATGTAATTAAATACACATACATTAAACAAAAAGATGATAGGTTTTGTTTAATTACGTGTCTATATAATGTTGGGAAATTAAGTAACCGCGGATATATATATATATAGAAGTATTCATGTATCTAAGATAAAAATTTCATTATTTCATGTGTATATATATGATAAAAATAAATAAAAAGATTCACAAACCTATACTTTCCAACCAAGTTTCTGCGTTTGAGCTCCGCATAAGCTTCGACAAGAACAACGGCTTTCTCTAGAAGATGTTTAAGATCTTTGATGACTTTCCTCATAGATTCATCGGATTCTTTTCCGAGCTTTTCGACCTTAGCGATCAATGGAGAGATCCTCAAGATGGTAGAATCAAGACGATCCAAGATACAACTTGTGGTTAAGGATCTATCTTTTGCTCTTTGGATGGCCTCATGAAGGATTTGGAGAGCAAGTCCAAGAGCAGCTCCTGCGATAATCTCGGCAAGAGGCATTTTCGTAAAGATTTTTTTATAGGGCTTAATTAAATACAAGGAGATTTTAGCTCTCAATCGCAAGGTTAGTATATGAATGAATCTATATGGAATTAGTCTTTGGACAAAAGCACTTGTTGCATTTATTTTTTTCAACTTTGCTCAGAGAAACCGTCTCAATGAGGATTAAATTTTTCTGGTTAAGATTAATATTTTGTTCAACTTGTTGTGATTGTGGAATTAAAGAAAAGAAGAGCGAGCAGTGAATAATTCTCAATGGCAATTAGTTTGTTTGCTTCAAGTTACATATGAAATTAAAGAAAAGAAGGTAAGATTATCATATTCTAAATGATCGACTTTGAACGTAGGATTCATTCATTGACATATGCTGAAATATCCAAACGGTTTGTGGTCCATTCTTATTTTTTATATATTACAAAACTTAAATAAAATATTGGTAGAATTTTTCTATATTCTATATTGACATTATCGTGAAATATTAAAATGACTATCATATGAAAAATATATTGATCAAAAATAACATTTTCCATAATTGTTTCATTTTCTAAGACTTTTTCGCTTCTGTCACATATAAACAAAAACTCTTTTAGCCAAGTTTAGATTAAATATATATATATATATATATATATATATATATAAACAAAAAAAAAAATTATTTTGCTCCTACTAATTATTATAGTGAAATGTTTCGCTTACCTCTTTATTAAGTTTGGTTTAAAGTAGTTGTTAATGCAAGTGAAAATATATGTTTCCGCATATGATAATGAGTTTGTGACCCATAAGAAGGATAACCAAATGTCAACTGTTATAGAGAGTACTTATGATACACATTTTTATCTCATGGGTGCAAACTGATATATATATATATATATATGCCCATGCAGAGTTTGGAAGATTTCTGCCTCGTAGTGAATTGTCTTGCAATCAATTGATAAAGACATATTAAATGTTGTCAAATCATTTTGTGTATGAACATAAATTACGTGATGTTCAATCTAATAATAGATATTGGTATATAAACAGCGCAAGACTTCTTTTTCTTGTCAACCATTGGAATATTCTCAGAAGTTTATAAAAGGTTGTGAATTAATTCATATGTTATAATATTTCTAGTAATATATAACATTATAAAAAGCTTAAGAAAAATAATAAGAATCAAATGTTTGGTAAATTAATACTTAGATCACACATTCACCTATACAACACTTAAAAACTGTAACTTTTCTAAGTAAAAAAAGAAGAAAAAAAGGATCACATTTGTTGAGTTTTTTTTTTGTCAAAAAAACATTTTGTGGTCTAGGACACGATCGTTACATTAATAATCAATTGAAGATGAACCGGATCTCGTGCTCTTTGGTCTGTTTTTTCCATCTAAAATGTATATCAATCTTTGGCTTTGAGCATCCATCTTCTTCAGAAGATCGACCAGTTGCTTCGATTATATCTATTGGTTGACTCGTAATCTCATCAAGTTTCGTATTCATTTCAGACATCTTACCCATAAGTTTTCTGATATCCAGCCATTGATTGACTTGAACATCCACATCTACCATCCATCTCAAAGAAGCATCCAACTCCTTGATTCTTCTCTTGTACCTAAAGAAAGATTCACAACAACAAAAACATTTTTGCATGTCATTACATTAAACATAATAGATTTTGATAGGGTATATTTTTGGTATTTTTAACACTACATTACATTTCCATATAGAAATGATTAACGACATTCACAAACCTATATTTCCTGAGTAAGTTTCTGCGTTTAAGCTCTGCATAAGCCTCAACAAGACGAATGGCTTTCTCGAGAAGACATTTAAGCTCTTCGATGACTTTCCTCAAAGGTTCATCGACTTCTTCGGTGCACGTATCGATCTTATTGACAAATGGAGTGATCTTATAGATTGTAGCATCGAGACGGTCCAATATACATCTTGTGATTAAGGATCTCTCTTTGGCTCTTATGATGGCCTCGTGAAGGAGTTGGAGGGCAAATCCAAGAGCAGCACCTGCAAAAAGCTCAACAAGAGGCATTTTCTTCAGAAGATTTAAAGCTTTGATTATATGGAGACTAATCAAGATTATTGAAGGATTTTAAGATGGTTGGCTTTAGCTTCTTGTCGGAGGTTAATTTATGTATGAATCTATGTGGAAATGTTCTTTGTTAACAAATACTTTATTTCTAAGTGAATACACATACTTGAATTAACTTTTTCAAGTTGCTCTGATTTTGTAATTAGAGAAACACGATTAGAGAATCTTTTGACTTTGTTGTGAACAAATGTTAGTATATACTCTCATGTATCCAACACCCAGACGCACATATAGCGCGTGATATCCACCGTCAGAAATTTCCCAAATTTAGGGAAATCGAGTTCTTGTTTAAGCGCGTGGTTGGGGTCTATCTATGATCCACTTATTAATTATTATATCAACATCGTGTAAGAATAAGGCAACAAATATTTTGTTTTGGGCTTTTAAAAGTTACTAAATGGGCCTCTGGTTGTGTTGTTATGTAACCTGATCAAGTTAGGATTGAGCAAATCTTGATAACATTGTGATTGTTTTTGTCAATGACATATACTGTTACTGTATGTTACTACTTTCTGTGAAGTGAAAACGCAAAGCAAGGATCATGGGTCAGAAACAAAATTTTGAACGATATGGTTAATCAAATCTTAATGTGCCACAGGCTGCAAACTCCCAAATTGGGAAAGTCCCACCATTTTAAAGTAGATGTAGACCCTTGAGGTAAACATGTGCTATTCATTGTGGAAAGTGATATTTATCTTGTTCTCATCTTCTCTACCAAGTGACTCTAGAAGCATCTGATGAGGAAAGAGGGTGTGGTAGGACCTTGCTTATACAATCTTTTCAAGAGGTCTTATCCCAAAATCATAATGATTCATAAACAAGAAAATGTTCAAGTTCTTGCAATCAACGACGGTGTCATGTTCGTCCTCTAAAATCACTTTCTCCAGGTAGATCAGTCTTTATTAAAATGTCCCACATCGATAGATAGAATATTTTTACTCTAATATATAAGGTTTATGAGGTTTTCTACTCATTGTCAACTGGGTTTAAGTTGGAAATTCATGATTTCTCATATCAAAGCTAGGTTGGTCCAATATTAGAAATTATGGACTTCCAACTTAAAATCAGTTGGCAATTTTTTTGGACTATTTCTCATGTCATCATTGTATAGGAGCCATGCTAATCTTATCTGTATCATTCCAAAGAATCTCCGAAAGAATATTTGATGCTTCAAACCGCTCATGGCTTATCCCACAACGATCAAGGTTTAACTCATCTTGCACACATGTTTTTCTTAGTTGCATTTATTGTTGAAAGTGCCTGTTGATGATCGAAACAGTCTTCTTCTGAGGTCATTCGTTATTGATAGATCTATTGTTTTCTATATGTAGGAAATGTTACTGTAAATTGCTAAATAGATATTTATTTGTCTCGTCTCTTTCAACTCTTTGTTTCCTTCTCTTTTTCCTTTTAGTGCTTTCAATCTTTTAGACTATTTCCATTATTAGGTTGTTATTTATACTTTCCCGTAATGAAAAATTATTTGTTTTTTTTTTTTTTCTCTCTTTCTCTTTGAGAGTATATTTTGGCATTGGGTTGTACACTTGTACTGGCGTAGTTGGATTTCCTTCCAAGTTCGAAATTTATTCATTCTTAATTAAGCAAAATGACCCCGAAAAATGATCTTTTAGTAGTACCAATAAAAGGATATCATAGAAAGAAGAAAACAAAAAAGCATATATATTGGATATATGAATAAATTAAGGCATGTGTTATACTCTCAATTTATCTATCTTTAAAAGTATTGTTTTAAAATATGTATAAAAAAACAAGAAAATAAGACTAACTATAATTGTAAGATTTAAGATTTGTAAAAATAGAGGCACTATATTTATTCAGCAATAAAGAGTACCCCAATAAAATCTCTATATGTAGATCTATATAGATTTATTACGAAACCTATGTGTATATCCCTAGATTCATATAAGTGTTTATTGAGAAAATATAATGATATATATAGTTAAAATATGAAATTTGTTTGATAATTGTTGAGTCATTTCCAGTTTTTAAAGAAAAGATAATTAATCTCTCAAACAGAAAACTAAAATTACACATACAAAAAATATGCATCTCACCTACTTCTTACTATTTTATCATTGTTCTCAAACGTTATAACGTTTAGATGACCAAAAATTGACTCGGAAAAGTTGCATTGGCCTAATTGCCGAGTAAATGTCATTATTAACTGATCTGACTTGCACTGACACGATTTAAAGAGAAAGATACAAAAACAAAAGTTGAACAGTTTCATATTTGTCATTATGAATTTCTGATTTCACAATGCATTTGCATATTTTGTTTTCCCACGTGCTTAACTTTAACAGTCCAAGACTTTTCTTTCAATTGATTAATTTTTTTTGCGTGAAACCCTTAATTAACCACTAATTTTTAATTCTTTGTGTGACTCTTTTCTACTTCATAATATCAATTACTCCACTAATTAAGATTAATTAACCCACTAATTAGAGATTCTACTTTTTCCAAAGACTTTATGTACATATGAATCGTAATCTAGTTAAACTTAATTCATAAAAGACAAACCTCGAACAAGAGGTAATCATCATTCTTACATAGGAGTATGATATATTTCGTATCACAAAATAAGAAATATGGAATCATATAGATAATTAGACTAAGACTACGGTCCATTATAAATGGCTTTATAATGTTTTCATAAATTGATTATAACCAAACTATAAAACATAAATTATAAACCTTGACCAGTATAACGCAATCTTTAAATATTAGGAGATTCACCCCATTTTTAGATTTTAAAGATTTTTTTCCTTAATCTTATAATTATTCTTGCCTTCTTGGAATCATAAACAAATAAACACGTATCCTACCCGTCCAAATAAGGTCGGATTGGTAAACCAGAAATCAAACCGATTAAGCAGAACCAGAAAACTATGTGCCCTCATGTGTATATATAACACACGAATGGACAAAGATAACATGACTTACCAAACACTACCAAATGCAAACACACCACATGCAGCAACAACAACAACTCCATCACTTCGTCTTTGTCCACGGCTCATGTCATGGAGCATGGTGCTGGTTCAAACTAGCTGCAAAGCTCAAGCTCGATGGTCACCGTGTGACAGCTATCGACCTTGGTGGGTCCGGTGTCGACACGAGGCGGCTCCATGAGGTTCGTTTGGTGTCGGAGTATCTAGAGCCTTTGATGAGTTTCATGGAGTCTCTTCCTGAAAACGAGAAAGTAGTTCTTGTTGGTCATAGCTATGGTGGCATTGGAACCTCTCTTGCTATGGAAAGGTTTCCGGCCAAAGTCTCTGTCGGAATCTTCCTCTCTGCTTACATGCCGCACCATGACTCTCCTCCGGCGGTTTTGATTCAAGAGGTCGCCGGATAAAGAAAATCTCTTCTTATCTTATCTTGTTCGGGACCATTCTTAAGACCTTATCTTATAATCTCATGTCACACTTTCTGTTTGTCTGCAGTATTTTAAGAGACTACCACAGGATTTCGCTATGGATTGTGAGTTTACATTCGAGGAAGGACTAGAACACCCTCCAAGTTCAGTTTTGTTCGGTACTAGTTTCTTGAAGGAGAAGGCATACAGTAATTGCCAATTAGAGGTTAGTGGCATAGTAGTTTCTATGTGAGTTAAGATAATCTTTGTCTGATATCAGGTGGTCACTGTTGGTTTTCTGATTGCAGGATCTAGAATTAGCCATGGCATTGGTGAAACCGAGCTGGTTATACACTAAGGAAATGGGAGGTGAAGATTTGATAACAGAGGAGAGGTATGGATCTGGGAAGAGAGTGTTTATTGTTTGTGAAGGCGACAATGTGCTTCCGGTGGAGATTCAGAAGTGGATGATTAGTAACTACGAGCCTCACGAAGTTAAGCGGATTGAAGAAGCTGGTCACATGGCTATGCTCACTAAGCCTCATCAGCTTTCTCAACTGCTACAGGAAATAGCAGCGAAATATAACTAAATGTAAAATGATAACAATGTATGATTTGGGCTCAGTTACATCTATGATATGAATAAGAGAGTTTCAATATTTGTGATTCTTGATATTCTACACTCTAATTTCGCCATTTCCTTGCTTACTGTATTTGGCTGGGGCAGTTTCACATTAGCTTGACTAGAGAGTATCTTATACCATTTAGATTTGGATTGGGGAGGCAAGAACATAATGCTCTCTGTTTCATAGCAGCTGCACCAACCAAGAATGTAGCATCTCTCTGCAGAAACACAACTCATGTCAGCTACACTTGTGTCAGAACCTCAAGAAAATTCGATTAGACATGAGATTCTCAAACTTACATAAACTTCTACTTGTGAGTCGATTAGTTTGAAATTTGATCTGGAAAGGAGACTTCTTTGTGTTGGCATCTGATCCTTCTGTCTCAGAGAATCTCACCTGAGAAGCACCAAATTGAGAGGTTAGAGACTTATATAGCAGCTAACAGAATGGTTTCATTTGTTGAATCTGACTTTCTAATTACCGCGACCCACAAACTAAGTTTCACCACATTTTCTTGTCAGTAAATGGAAATCTCTTGGGGAGTTGTAAATCTCCAAAATAAAGAATAACAAGAACCTTTTGCCAAATCATAACTAAGCATATGACAATTTTCATATAACAGTTCTTTTGAATCCATATATGCAATTGATTTACCTTTGGTCCAGATATATTTACTCATGGGATAGACAGAGCTCTTGAAACCTTGACAAACTGCCTCACAGTAGAGTTAGATTTATTTAGCTGATTATATGCGTAGGTGACTTTACAAATTGGGTAAATAAGACTGACCGTCGTAGAAGAGCCTCTGGGTTGTATGGAAACAGTTTTTTCTGATGTAGCTTAACAACTGAATTTTGTAACGAAAGCAGACAATCTTTGGCGTCTTCAAAAGCCTGGGGGTGTAGTCTCCAGTTTTGTTCAACCTCAGAAGTCTCAGGCAAAACTTTTCTTCTCTTCGGAGATGAAGCATTTGTACTTCCTTCAAATGGGAATTCCACAAATAGAGTCCATGAATCACAGACTGCGCGCAAGCATCTACCAGGAATATACAGTGGATGTTAAACAGGAATCAACCTATAAGTATTTGTTTGGAAAATTCATAATGGAATTCGTAAACTAGAGAAATCATTCAAAGACTAGAGTACGTGTTAACATGGCTGGTCTCACACAAACTAACAGCTCATATCCAATCTTAATACTCAATATCGAGCAGTCGATATGCAAATTCTTAAAAGAGAAGGATTAACCTCAGGAGGTACTCTGCACAGCTATCCCCGATATCTTTTGATATAAGGTAATCAAGAAGTACTTGATGATCATAATGCAGCTGACAATAGAAAACAGAGGTACATCACATCAAGGATTTGATGAAGATATAACCACGCCTACATGGAACATGGCACAAGAGACTTATGTGAATGTTTAATGAAAATTACCTCTGAAAGAAATATACAGAATAGGGTTACAGGATTGAACAAGGTTGAGAAACGGAAGAGAGTAATTTGTTCCTCATCTTCAAGCGAACCCCCTTCCACGTTAGGCCTGTAAGTGAAAAACGCCCATAAGAACTCACAGAAATCTGGTTAACTGTTTGCAGAAAGGCAGTGTTTTACCCTACTTACAGTTCCTGTCTATGCAATGGTACAGACAGCAATTGCAGGAGGACTTTAAATAATAGATCATCCTACAATTAAACATAGAAAATATATAAAAGAGCTCTACTCTATGGTGTTAAACTGAAACACCAAATACAATGGCAAATACAGAATGGTAACCCAAAACCTCATGCATGAACAGCCGGACGAAGGATGCAGAAAATTCAACACTCTTCTTGCTATAAATTCTGTGATCAGAACATATAATGCCTGGAATCTGTCGTACAATCCATTTAAACATCTCTGCCATCCCTTTCTTTCTACAATCAAACTCACACTGCTTGCCGTTATGTCTACTTGAATAAATCAAAGTGAAGGAGCACCGTAAGAATAGGAACACAGAAAGTCTTTGCAAATGATTAGAATGGGTCTCATTGATCTCCCTATCAGACAAACTCACAAAAAATGGCGAACCCTCCAAACAATTATCTTGAACGGGTTTAAACTTTGTTAGGGTGTGTTGAAGAAAGCCTTGAGAATCTCGTTGCAAATATTGCAGCCATGAAAGAAGAATGGTACATTTTATATTGGACTTATCAGTAAGCCTGATCATCAACACCTAGAAAAAGGGGGGACAGTAGCATAAGATGAACTTACTATCCGAGATATATCTAGAAACAAAGCAAAGAGGTTCTCGGAACTTGTACGCTTTTAAACAGATGGAAATACGTACCAGTAACTTGTGACCTAGGTATCTTGACATGCAAGAGCCACTTTGACTTTTTAACTTTGGTTGGCACCATCGGATGAGATCCGGAACAAGCTTGATGGTTTTTTGGAGGATCAAATGTGAAGGTTCAGAATCATCAGAATCTTCTACAACACGAACATGCTGAACCATGGAACAGAGAAACTGGACAAAGTTCCCAAGAAATACAGTTGCTTCCTCAGAGTTTGCAGTGCTTCCGAGAGTTCCACTCTGACCTTGGAAATTTCTTTCACCACTACCATGCTGATGAGAGAACACAGTGTCCACTCGGGACCAAGGAACTTTTGCAAGTGTAGAGTTGACAGATTCCAAGTATACATCAAGAAGTTCCTCATCTTCTTCTTGGCTCAAGCGCTTCAATATATTACGAAGAATTCGAAAGATATCAGACACGGTGGACCAGCTAGCCTTTTCCAGCTTACATTTAAGAACATCAGAACCTAAGAAACGTAGATCCGGAATTCCAAATCCAGTTTCAGAAGCAACAGCAGGAATTGGGCAACTGTAAATAACTGCTAAGCGCAAACATTCACAAAGCAAACGAATGAACTCATCCCATTGACTTCCCTAAGAAAACAAATGAGTGAGTATGAGAGCTGGAAGATACAACATTCTATAATCTCGAAGTGAGGCAAACGCACGCAACATACAGATTGAACCAGAGACTCGGATACTTCCACAAGAATGTTGCCAGCCAAATGTTTAATATGCACATTTTTCATACCCAACAAACCAACCTGCCAGAGAAACCAGATCAAGCTAAGGATCATAGACAATCCTATCTAACAGCAGCTGTGAGCTAAGAATGAGGAACTTACAATATCAGCCACAAGTCTTTCTAAGCATAAATACTCTTTAGATTCTGGACCATATAATGCATCAGCAGTCTCATCATGATCAACAACAGTCTCCTCTCCAGATTGAATTTCTCTCAACACCTAATCAAAGAAAAAATCAAAATCCAATTTCCGTCCATTAAGAGGACCGGAGCTTCGAGGAAGCAAACAATGCATCGACAATGATGAACCTGAGATAGAGAAAGAAGCAGATCTTTCTCCGTTTCCTTCGTCGGCGAGTTTGCTTCTCTTTCCTACATGACTCCGAGAACCAATTGCGTTTATACAAAAACACATAGTTGCAATAACTCATAACGAAACGGAGAGAACAAGAGCTGAAGAATAATACTTACAGGGTATTGGCGAACACAGCGATCGATCAAGAGATGAAGACGAGAAGCTAAGTTTCCGGTAGCCATTTTACAACGACGACTGTTCACTCTCGCCGGCAATAAACTCATTAAAACGTAGCGTTTCGTTATGACGAGACTCGAGAGGTTCGATGAAACGCACCGTTTCGCAAGCTGAAAGTCCTTTTTTATGCCACTTAACGAAGTAGCTTCTTCCGCTGTACAACTTACACGGAAATGCGTCTCGATGGCGCTAAAACAGGCGCGTCAGCTCCACGCTATCATCCTCACTGCCGGCGCTGGCTCCGCTTCCGAATCTCCGTACGCAAATAACAATCTCATCTCAATGTATGTGAGGTGTGGTTCACTTGAACAAGCACGGAAACTGTTCAACAAAATGCCTGAGAGAAACGTAGTTTCTTACAATGCACTCTATTCGGCGTATTCCCGGAACCCAGATTACGCAAGTTATGTGTTTAGTCTGAATCCTTGAAGCCCAATAGCTCGACTTTCACTAGCTTAGTGCAAGTATGTACTGTGCTTGAGGATGTTTTGATGGGGTCATTACTACATTCGCATACTATAAAGCTTGGATTTTCAGGTAATGTGGTTGTCCAGACATCGGTTTTGGGGATGTACTCCAGTTGCGGGGACTTAGAATCTGCGAGGAGAATCTTTGACTGTGTAAATGGCGGAGACGCGGTTGCTTGGAACACAATGATAGTTGGGAGTTTGAGAAATGATAAGATAGAAGATGGGCTTGTGCTCTTTAGAAGCATGTTGATGTCTGGTGTTGATCCAACGTAGTTCACGTATTCAATGGTACTGAATGCTTGTAGTAAATTGGGAAGCTATAGGCCTATAGCTATCTTATGAAGCTATCTTTTATACATTTTTTCGGAAAAAAAAAAATTTGGACCCCGATGAACAGATTTTCTGGCTCCGCCACTGCTCGGAGATATGTTCAGAATCGTCAAGAAGTGCCTCCTCCAGCCTCTTTAGCTCATTAATCTCCTCCTGCCTCCTCAGCGTTGCAACAGAGGTTGGTGGCATACTTGTTTGATCATGGTAAGCAGAGCGTCTGTTGGATATTGGAGAGAAGTGGAATCATACTGTTGGAGAGTTTATAGAGAAGAGTAAGCAGAAGCGTCTGTTGGATATTGGAAAGAAGTGGAATCATACTGTTGGAGAGTTTGTTGAGGATCTGTGACGAGAGAAGGATATTGGAGAGAAGTGGAATCATACTGTTGGAGAGTTTGTTGAGGATCTGTGATAAGAGAAGGAGAAACTGTAGAAGTGGGAATAGCAGGCTGCAGAGTTTGAGGAGATAAGTGAGCTTGAGGAGATAATTGAGCTTGAGGATCTGTGAAAATAGAAGGAGACTCTGGAGAAGTGGGAATAGTAGGCTGCAGAGTTTAGGAGGATTAGGTAGGGCAAGTTCAGCAACTTTATTTGCCGAATCAGTGACAAAATTATGCAAGTTTGCATGGGCTCGACAAACTTGTTGGTTCAGTTCGGCTTCTCTAGAGTTTGAATCTATTCCCTCAAGAAGTGTTTGCATAAACAAAGGTTCTTTACCTGCAGTCTTAAGTAGCTCAAGCTTCCACTTTGTCTCGTTAGTGAAGAGAGAAAGAATACGCAATTCTCTAAACATTTTTTTTGTATGAATGTAAAATTATATTCAAAAAAATGTTTGTACAAAATTTGTTTATAATATATATTCAAAAATTTTCATTGATATATTAAGTGTTGAATTAAGTTTTCTAAAAAATTGGCAATATTATTAATAATGGTGAATATATAGCCAAAAAATTGGTGATTGACAATTTAACACTACTAGATTTTTGTAATAAATGTTAATAACAAAATTTAAAATATACATACGTAAATTAGTTTTTTCAGACAAAAATAACTAAATAAGTATGTAAATAACTCTATTTACTAAAATCATGTCCATTTTTTTCTTAAAAAGCTTTGAATACCATTTTTCTACAATAAACTTTTACTTTAAATTACTGTTAAATGTAAATTTTATTTTAAAACTAAATAAACCGTCCGATGGACAGATCCTAATCTAGTATTATAATATTATTTGTAAATTTTTAAAAGAAAATTATACTAGGGATGACGGAATTTTTTATTTGCATAGGGCATTCGAAAATACCAAACCGCATTTTGTTAGACGTCTCACACTCTATAATGTTTTCGCCACTTCTATTACAAAAAGTAACACAAATTTTAAGTAAATTCTTTTTTATTTGTTCGTGAGAAAATACCCTTTTCTAACCATCTCTACAAAACAAAACAAAAATTGAGTAAATAAGATAGATAAATGTCATAACGAGAAGTTTGATAAAACGCAGTGTTTTTGTTATGAAAGAGAGATTATATTAAACGCGACGTTTTAAAGTTTCTTTTAGAAAACCTGAAGCTATCGTTTCTTTTTTTATGCCACTGAACGAAATAGCTTCGTCTGTAGTAGAACTTACACGGAAATGCGTCTCGATCACGGCACTAAAACGGGCGTGTCAGCTCCACGCTATCATCCTCACCGCCGGCGCTGGCTCCGCTTCCGAATCTCCGTACAAAAATAACAATCTCATCTCAATGTATGTGAGGTGTGGTTCACTTGAACAAGCACGGAAACTGTTCGACAAAATGCCTGAGAGAAACGTAGTTTCTTACAATGCACTCTATTCGGCGTATTCCCGGAACCTAGATTACGCAAGTTATGCGTTTAGTCTGATAAATCAAATGGCATCTGAATCCTTGAAGCCCAATAGTTCGACTTTCACTAGCTTAGTGCAAGTATGTACTGTGCTTGAGGATGTTTTGATGGGGTCATTACTACATTCGCAGATTATAAAGCTTGGATATTCAGATAATGTGGTTGTCCAGACATCGGTTTTGGGGATGTACTCCAGTTGCGGGGACTTAGAATCTGCGAGGAGAATCTTTGAGTGTGTAAATGGCGGAGATGCGGTTGCTTGGAACACAATGATAGTTGGGATTTTTAGAAATGATAAGATAGAAGATGGGCTTATGCTCTTTAGAAGCATGTTGATGTCTGGTGTTGATCCAACGCAGTTCACGTATTCGATGGTGCTGAATGCTTGTAGTAAACTGGGAAGCTATAGATATTCTGTAGGAAAATTAATCCATGCCCGGATGATAGTCTCGGATATTTTAGCTGATTTACCTGTAGAAAATGCTCTTCTTGACATGTATTGCAGTTGTGGGGACATGAAAGAAGCATTTTATGTGTTTGGGAAGATACATAACCCAAATTTGGTTTCATGGAACTCGATTATTTCGGGGTGCTCAGAAAACGGCTTTGGAGAGCAAGCGATTCTTATGTATAGAAGGTTGCTGAGGATATCCACACCTCGACCGGATGAATATACTTTCTCTGCTGCTATACCTGCGACAGCTGAACCAGAAAAATTTATTCATGGGAAGCTTCTTCACGGACAAGTAACTAAATTAGGATATGAAAGGAGTGTGTTTGTTGGAACAACACTCTTGTCCATGTACTTCAAAAACGGGGAAGCTGAATCTGCACAGAAGGTGTTTGGTGTGATCACGGAAAGGGATGTTGTTCTCTGGACTGAGATGATTGTTGGGGAATCTAGAGTGGGAAACAGTGAGTGTGCAGTCCAACTCTTTATTGAAATGTACCGAGAAAAAAATAGAACTGATGGTTTTTCCCTGAGTAGTGTTTTAGGTGCATGTTCAGATATGGCGATGCTAAGACAAGGTCAAGTGTTCCATTCTCTTGCCATTAAGACGGGGTTCGACAATGTTATGTCAGTATCTGGAGCACTAGTAGACATGTATGGGAAAAACGGCAAATACGAAACTGCAGAATCAATATTCTCTCTTGTTTCAAATCCAGATTTGAAATGTTGGAACTCAATGCTAGGAGCTTATAGTCAGCATGGAATGGTAGAAAAAGCTCAGAGTTTCTTCGAACAAATACTAGAAAACGGATTCACCCCGGATGCTGTAACATACTTGTCTTTATTAGCAGCCTGCAGCCACAAGGGATCAACGCAGGAAGGTAAGTTCCTGTGGAATCAAATGAAGGAACAGGGCATCACAGCAGGGTTTAAACACTACTCTTGCATGGTGAGTTTGGTATCCAAAGCTGGGTTATTAGGCGAAGCACTGGAACTGATAAAACAATCTCCTCCCGAGAACAATCAAGCAGAGCTCTGGAGAACTCTGCTAAGTGCCTGTGTTAACGCAAGAAACTTGCAGATTGGACTATATGCAGCTGATCAGATCCTGAAACTTGATCCAGAAGACACTGCAACACACATTCTACTATCTAATCTGTATGCGGTGAATGGGAGATGGAAGGATGTTGCAGAGATGAGAAGGAAGATTAGAGGATTAGCTTCAGCTAAAGATCCAGGATTGAGCTGGATTGAAGTGAACAACAACAATACACACGTTTTCTCCTCTGGAGACCAGTCTAACCCAGAAGTTATAACTCAAGCTCAAGATGAATTACATAGATTAAAGAGTAATATGTTGTGTAGATCAGCATTCCATGAACAAGATTCATATCTTATAAGACTTATCTCTTCAGATTAAAAGTTTGTTCTAAACAAGTATCGTCATTTCAATTCGAAATCACTAGTGTAAACAGAGGAGAAGAAAGTACCAACGTTAAGAATACAGACCCAAAAAAAAACACACTTTCTCTGTTTTCTAGTTTCCGAACACGAGTTTCCATGATGACAAGACACACTAAGAGATCAACATCACTGAACAAAAGCCAATAGAAACTAAAAAAAGGAAGAGACTTGAAACCCTCTGGTAAAGACAGAAGCTTTCTCATTTGAGTGAGTTTCCTGGTGTTGTGATGGAGAGATCCGGCCACGCGAAGTACTCACCGGAGACGAATCCACCACCGGCGTTACTCTCTAAACCCTCGAACTGCCACGTGGCTGGTATCGGAACAGAGTGATGACCACCGTTACTTCCTACATTCGTCGTCGCAGCGTCACCAACAGTTGAAAACGGCCACATCGCTCTTCCAAGTCCAAAGCTGACGTCATCAAAACCTGACCCGAGTCCGATTCCGAATCCTCCGAGTCCAATAACCGAACCGGATCCATGTGTAGACGTCGCAGCAGCGTTATGGTTCAACAGAGAGGTGAAACTTCCACAGAGAGATAAAGCACTTCCCTTTCCGTCGCTTTCAGTTACGGTGTGAGTAACGCCGTTAGAGATTGACGACTGAGGGAAGAGAACAGGCGTCGTTTGTAACGGAACGCCGTTAGAGTTAGAGACGACACCAGAAACAGAGGAAGAAGAAGAGTTGGAGCAAGTACGGGAACGTTTGGCGCTTTTGCGAGTACCGCCGCCGACAGGAATGTCACGGAGAGTACCACCGTGAGTCCAGTAACGTCGACAAGCTTTGCAAAAGTGACGAGGCTGAGAGAAGTTGTAGTTGTTGTAGTAACAGAACTTAGTGTTGGATGAGTCACAACGAGGACATGGAAGTTGCTCTTGCTGGTCGGAAATCGGAGCTGTTACGCCGTGAGGTTTCATAAGTATTCGCCGTGGTTCACCGGAGTCAGACGTCGGCATAATCGCAGAAAGGTGGAAGCTTTTGGGAAGTGAAGAAAGATTGAAGCTTTATTGGGTTGGTTAGGGTTTAAAGGTTGAAACTTTAGGTTACGAGAGAGTGAGAATTTGGTTTTTTATGGAGAAGAGAGAGAGAAGGGAACATGCGCAGATAGAAATGGGGATGGAGAAGAAAGTCAGGCTTTTTTTTTTACAGAGGGTGTTGGGTTGATTTGAGGCCACCCTCTCTCTCTCTCTCTCTTCTCTTGTTGTCTTTTAAATTTGTCTTTTTATGAGGATTTTTTCTTTGTTGGTGCTTTGGAAATGTTGAGTCGGCTAATGAGATTATTGTAACAGTGAAATGCTCTGTTTTTCATCCCTATGAAGTCGGCTCTCTTCATACGTAGATGGCTCTGTTTTCAAAGTTTCAGTTTTGGACTTTGAACAATCTATAAAACACTCAACAATAGTACTTATATCTTTTGTGTGATTAATAATTTAATAAATGGATTCATGGTTTTGTTGGGAGTATTAGAGTTACAGTTAAGGATACAAATATTTAAAGAAGAAAAAAATCATGTTTTGTTATGATCGTCACAATATTTGACTATATCAATTCCCAAACAAGCTTATTTTATGTAAATAGTGTGGCAGCCAAACGATTAAGTGACATATGAGGCATATAAAAATGAGTACAAAATGCTGTCAAAAAAAAAAAAAAAAAAAAAAAGAGTAAAAAACTTCAACGAGGTAATAATTCACCGTTGTGGTTTTGAGATAACTAAAATTTTGGTACCTAATTAATTACCGGGAAAACATCATGATATTATCTTAGTCTTTTCGTTACCAACTTTATAAATCAATTTTTTGACAAAAAGGAAAATTATTGTACGTATGTGGCTTAATAATGCTAAAGTTTGGTCATGAGTCATGACGTTGCTTTTATGTTTAAAGTTTAAATTAGTAGTACTAAACAACTGTCAATAATGACAATTTTTTTAATCTTTCGTGGAAAAACAAAGTCACGTTGATAAAAAAAAAAAAAAAAATGATACGGAGATAAGGCATAGAGAGGAGAGAGTAGGTCGCAGTAGGCAACACAGGTTTGGAGACTATTGAGCTTATCAATGTACGGCCATTTCCCAGTAATTCTACATTTATCTTTTAAGATTCTTTCAATTATTATTTTAAATTTTCATGCTTATCTATGATAACTTTATTATATAAAAAAAACAAGCAATCGTATGTTTCCAATAACAATTAAGTAGACTAATTTTGTTTTAGTTGTCGTTTTAGGATTTAAATTTTGTTTCGTTTTAGTTGTTGTTTTAGGTTTTTAATGCAAATATTTGGTAAAAATTTCAGTATTATCCCTATTGTTTTAATGTTGTGACCAATGAAATTTTTTATAAAATATACTATTAATAAAGGGTAAAACAGAAAATTTAATATTTTTTTAATTTGTGTGAAAAAACCTTAAACGACAACTAAAAACTGATGAAGTATTATTTATTCAAGTTACTGATTTGATGTAAGCTCATAAATTATCAAAAAAAAATGATATCGTAAGCCGCTTACGGTAAGCGTAACTCTTCGGTAACTAAAAAGAATAAAAAATGCATGTTCGAGAAAGTTGGAAACAATGGACACGTTTTTCTATCGTCTACGTTAAATTTTTACTTTTAAAATGGATAATTGGATTTATTCTAGTATTACTTTATTTTGACACGAATTAAATTATTGTTTCTTTGTTGGATCGATCAAGCAGCTTTTGAAATTAAAGTCCAAAAAAATTTGATCTTGTTTTATTTGTGTACCGGAGAACTTTTGTTTGTGTATTACTCTATTTAGTGATTATTCTTTTTGAACACTTTTGTTCAAATATTTATTTCACAAATATATACAGTAAAACATCTATAAATTAATAACCTCTCTAAATTAATAAATTATTTCGGTCCCATGTTGGAACCAGTGTAAAATATGACATAAATCGATAAATTAATAAGATAATAATTTTTTTGAAAATCTCATGTAAACATATGGTCACATCTATATCATAAATTAATAATTGTATAAACTTATTAATATATATATATATATTTAACTTAATATATATATATGATATAAGTTTATATATGTTATATATGAATTACTATGATATATATTTAAAATATTATATGTAAAATATTTAATAAATTATAACTCTATTATTTATTATTTATTATAATTTATTTTAGAGTTATAATTTATTAAATATTTGACAAAAAAAAAATTTATAACTCTATTATTCGAAAAAAGTTTGTATTATCTTTTAAACTTAATAATTGCTTTTCTACTTGTAATTGGTTTTAAAAAGATATTGCTTATATAGAAATTTTTTATTTTTAGATAGAAATTTTTTAAGAAATTAAAAAAATTAGTAAAATCTCTCTATAAATTAATAATTACTCCCTTTGTTTTTTTTAAGTTGTCGTTTTAACTATATTTGGACAAATTAAGATAAGGTATACAATGACTATATTAACCTCATAAAAATGACAAGTAAGTATTTACAAATAATTTGTGTTCAATAAAATGAGGGTAATTTGGGTAGTTATTGGCATAAATTACATTATTACCTTAAAACGACAACTAATTTAAAACAAAAAAAAAGCTCTAAAACGACAACTATTCGAAAACGGAAGGAGTATTAAATCATAAAGTTAATAGGATTTTAATTTTAAAACGGTAGTAGTGGGCGGTGGACTATGCTCGTGTTACATCACTAAACACTAAATTTGTATTTTTATGAAATGATCAACTACATAATTAATATTCACGCAAATGGTAATGAGTGGAGAGGCCCATATATTTTATATACTAGTCAAAATCTTTTGTCTTTTCCAATGTGGGATAATATTATCCCTAATACGCCTCTTCGAGATGATGACTCTAGCCATTGATCTCGGTATGCTCGGGCATGGATCGGCGGACCAACTATTGGGCCGGGCCGATGGTGGATTGGATTTGGACATGTACGGATTGGAGTCTGATACCATGAAAGCGTGAGGATTTGTTAGAAATTATTACGTTGATTAGATTATGACAAGCGAATCAGAATCTATATTAGTCCACATACGACTAAACAAGTTGTATTGGAGTATGACCTCTCAAGGACCACATTAATCCCACATGATCTATGCAATAGATATAGGATTATACTAAGATTTAAAGTTACATCATGGGACGAAAACAAACATAACCTTTTTTAAAAAGAAACATGTAATCCAAATAATAAGAAATTTTGATAAGTACTCATCCGTTTAAAATAAAATCTGGTTTCACATTTCTTTAACACATGAAAAAGTCATTACAAATATCGTCTTGGTGAGGTTTACTAATGTGTGTATGATCTATCATTGTGATCATATTTGTTCGTGACGAAGGGAATCGGATTCGGATAAAGAGAGAGAATGGGAAGAGAAGAGTCCGCAATCAGAGGAAATGTGTAATTATAATTCTTCACGCCTTGTCCCGACCCTTCCCATCATTCTGTCTCTCTCCGCATTTCTCGTTTCTCTAATCTTTTTTTTTCAAGTACTATTATTATGAGACTCCTTAAAATTTGTTTTAGATAACGACTCTCCAAAAAAAAAAAAAAAAAACATGACAAATCCCATGGTTTTTTTTGAAGTAAAGTATTCATACTGGTCTCTGGTCCATATAAATGAGTTACAAAACCTTGCAAATACGTACGTTAACGTAGCAAAACGGAGAAAGAGAGAGAGAGAGTCTTACAGAAAAAAGAACTGGTCAAGGAGACAAGAGTGAAACTGTCGGGTCGAGTCGAAGGAGGTGGATAAGCACGCGCAGCCGGAGGAAAGATATGACCCACACTGAGCCACCTCTTCCCACTTCAACGACTTCTCTCTCTTATCTCTAGTCGCTTTCACACCCAAAACAATGAAAAAAACTCATAGAAATAGAGAGAGAGAGAAACAAGAGAGGTGTGGTTTGTGTGCCATGGGACGATGTGTCCTATTTGTTTTTGCAAGCCGTCCTTTCGTTGTCGGATATTCGGGTCCGGACTCCGGACCGGTCCTATCAGATCAAACCACTGACACCTTCCCTTATTCCCTCCCTCTCTTTCTTCTTGTCTTTTTCTTCCTTAATCCTCTCTTTTTTCTGATTCCTATTGATCCGATGGGTGTTTTTTTTTGTCTTTGAATGTGCATGAAAGAGGGCGAGTGTCGTCTTTTTACGTGTTTATTTGTTATGGCTTTAAGCCCAACCCTGGTTTGAAAAATCGCTACGCGCTAATCGGATTTTTGGTATGGATCTAACGATTAATCGAAAAATCAGATTAAAATCGGAGATTAATCGAGGATTAGATTTTATGATTATTTTAATATTTTAAAAACATATTAATCTAATATTGTTTTCAAAATTGCAGTAAGCACATAAAACTGTATTTTTGAGAACAATTTTTATGATTTTTATAACAAATTTATGTTTTTTTTATTAAAATTTGAACATAAGTTATTATAAAACATCACAAACTCCCAATTTAAATGATTGAATAACGAAAATAAAAATAAAAATTTATACTTGTAATCAAAAAATAATCGGAATATGTAAAATTAGCGGAGAGTAATCGGATTAGACGGGAAGTAATCGGATTATGCGGAAAATAATCGGATTAGGCGATAAATTATTGGGTAACTGATTTCTTTATGAGATTAGTCATTAATCGAAACGGATAAAATGGACTAGCGATTAAGTGGAGAGTAGGCAGAGATTTTTATGAAAGCCCAACGATCCAATATTTTATACTCCACTTGCCATAAATAAACAAGTATATAACTGATTATTGCCTTTAGCTTTTCAAAGTTTTCCTTTGTTCTTTACTTTAATAAATGTGACTCAAATATTTTCTTATTTAGACGAGTATGATTCTTAGTATCCGACACTTGAAGATTCCAAGACAAACAAACAAAAATTTCTGCTTAATATCAACTTAAACGTAAAACCATGGCTTGAACAGAAATGAAACTAAACCACAAACAATTTTATAATTTAAAAAATCAGAAAAACATGAACAAATCTTTTACTATGTTTTTTAACGGGAATAAGCCAAAAAAAAAAAATCTCACAAAGCCAAAGTAGAAATTACAATTTTTTTTTTTAAATGAAAGGTTATTAATTATTAGCTCAAAGGTCACGAAGGTGGAGGAGGTTAAAGGGAGTGACGAATTTGGAGTCACCGTAGAGTAATTTGTCAGCAATGAGAAGATTAGCGGCTTCGCTAGGATGGTACGCGTCCCAGAACACATGCTTTGACCGGTCCGTACAAAGGCTCGACGTTGGTCCACATGGCAATATCCCCGCCAATCTCCCTCTCGTCTCACAACACGCCTCACTCGCCGTCCTAAACCCTATTATTACATTTTCCACAACAATATTAAATCCATAATTAACATTTTTATTAATCAAACAAACAATACTAAAGATGAAGTTTTGAAAGAAAAAAAGTGAGTTTTAAAAGGCCCATGGGCCTAATTTAGTCTATATATTCTTACCGTAGTCTTTGAAGTTGACAATGAGGTCCATGAATAAATCATAAACATTGGCATAAACGAAGTGTGCGTCTTTGAGACTGTCTTTCAATTCCACCATCAATAGATCTTTGAGACGAGCATTGTACTGAAGAGCCAGTTTGTTTGCCAAATCAACACACTGCTTATCGTTTAGTTGATTGATCGATTTCTGGTACGGTATACATCCGATCGGAGCCACATTTCCCACCACAAATTTCCGAGCATCCATATCATATAATCTCTACATTTGATTTTAAAAACCTTCAGCTAACATCAACTACAAATTATAATTTTTTTTTAATGTAAGTTTTGTAACATACCTTGAGCTGGTTGCGGAGGTGGCTAATCATGTCATCAACAAAAATTTCAGGAGTTTGTGTTAGCCTTGCTTGAGCCGCGACAAAAGGGACTAGATAGTTGTTGAGAAAATCGTTTGAACCAATGACTATAGAGAATAAGGATTTCTTTCTAATGTAATCTCTAGCCTTATCTTCACCCAAAAGCTTATCAAATTGCTTCCTTGTAATAGTAAAGTAATCAACTTGTATGTCCATTCCTAACCGATTCACCTATGAAATCGTAATTTTCAAATTGTAAAACATATACATAAGTTCATTTGCATATTTGTGTACACAGACAAACATAAATTTCGAAACAAAAAGCAACATTTGACACATATTTATAAAAATTATTAACATGAAAATTTTACGTAAACTTTTCCTGCCAACCAAACGGTCGTGACACGTAATATACGACAGATAATGTGTGCATGGGACAAAGATGCTTACAAATACACTTCCTGTAGCATTGAGAATTCCACCACCACCTGATGCGTAGTTCACGCCATTTAATAGTGCTTCACCACTTGCATTTGGTGCTAAATATGGAACTGCATAACTTGGCTGCCCTAACTTTTCTCCTATAGACAACAAAATAAACATTAGCATAATCATTAAAAATGAAATTTTGATTTATATTTTGGATACAACTTTTTATTAAATTACCAACGATGTCAGCTATGGTACGGCCATTCGTAAACCGGCCGGTTGGATTTCCACGAGATGGTTTGAAATCGATGCCATTAGGAGGACTATTGGCTCTAGACAATGTTTGTAAGTAGTTGTTATTTCCTGCGTCCACTAGCGAATCGCCAAAGACGAATGAAGCGGCTAAGGCGTTTTGGTCTCCTGCGCTAGCTACTATAGAAAATCTTGATCCAATGAACAAGAATACGAAGAATGGGACAAAGTAATTAGCTTTATTCATTGTCATGAAATTGTTTCTGAATTTTGATATTTGGTTTTTATTGTTCTTTGACAAAGAAGAGTATATATAGATAACTCTTCTGACTAGTTAAGAACGTATGAGAAGCAACCTCGTGTGTTAGATTTGAAACCAGGTTGTTTAACAAACTAAAGCTTTTTTTATGGTCAACATGTTTCGATTTTAAAAAAAATTATTATTACAAAACAGATAAAGTTAGGACACCAATACTGTTGTGTTGTGCTTTATGGTTTAGAAAGTTTGAAATTAAAATACCCTTGTTTTATGGTATCTACTACTCTCAACTCTATCTATTTCATCATCCTTCAAAATTATTTTAGTTGACGAATTGATTTTTCTAGTTAGAAAAATTCTAACATGGTAAAAAGAAATACTTACAGTCGTATGGGTTAATACTTTATAGGAAAACTTAAGTTGGGCTTTATTACTAGCTGGGCTGACCATAACGCTGACCATTTATCTTACACTTAAATTATTTAACTAGTATTTTTTTTTTTTTAATTAGTATTATATTATGCATAGTCATGAATATAATATAATTTCATATTGAAATTTGATTTTTTGTACTAAATACCGGAATCTAACTGCGAAATCTCTTATCCATCGAACTACTACCAACTATTAAGATGTTAAAATGTGTATATAAATTAAAATTAGGTTTTTTTTTTGTTTTTTGTTTTTTGTTTTCTTAATTACTTGGATCCGTGTTACATAATGAACTGTTTGGTGAATCTGATATGAAAATATAAAAGAAAAACACTAAATATCATTAAAAAGAGCCTAATGATGATGCCTGATGTTGTGTGTTTTATGTATGACGCACCAAACATCCCATTATAAAAATGATTTAAAGAAAGTTTAGTTAACTTCATTGCCGTTGGATCACTTAAATCATAATCCATCATGTCCCATTTTCTTATATAAGAAGAAACTTGACTAGTAGTAACAAATATACGATTGACGAATGGAAAATGACACTACATGTTCAATTAGAAGACAAAACAATTGATGCCAAAAGGATGATCACTTCCTTACGCTGCTCATCATTTACATGACTCGTGTCCACTTTCATTCCCATGGTAAGATAATTGACCGTCTATGGACGGAGTTTCAGTTAATGCTTATTGATTTCATATTTTTAGCTCTCTTTTTTTTGTTATCGGACCAAATTCCACAGGTTACAATTTGTAAAACCTAAGGTTTTTTAAAAACAAAATAAAAACCTAACTTTTTTATTTTTAGTAAATATTTACATTTTTAGCGAAAAAGTAACCGTCTTAAGTCAGCCCAGACAATTTGAACGTTCTAAACAATATAGAATTTTTTGGCCTTTTTAAAGAAAATTGGTGCAGAAAAGTAGCTTTATTCCTCTGTCTCTAGCTATACATGCAATTAACAAATTCAGCTAATAAGATCATTCTTGTGTTATAGTTAGAGTTTCTGAAAAAGAATATTTGATTAATCATTTCATTGATTAAAATTTTGCAGTTTTGATTATGTTATTCTCAAATCATCGAAGAGTTGTCTGTCAAAAAAAATTGTCAGAATCCCGGTTAAGGCGAACCGGAACTCCTCGAATTAAAATGCTTGAAGTTTGTTGGATCAAAATCTGTTTTAACATAATTAATTACAATTTACATACACATTTGAATTCTTCGGTTTTGTTTACATACAAAAAACAAACAACTATTTTTTGGGACTAACCCTCCCTTGAGCCGAGAAGCTAGGAGCCACCGATAACACTGACGGACCACCACCACCACCACCACCAAACTGATCCGGCGACCGAAATTCTTGATTTACCATCGGCGGTGAACTCTCCGACACCCGCCACATCTTCACCGATCTATCTAAACTTCCACTATACACAATCCACCGTCTCTCACCGGAAGCCGATTCTTGATCTCTCTCGACCGCCAAACACTTAACCGGACCAGCATGTCCGGTCAAAACCGAAAGACAAACATGCTCACCTCCACCACCACAACCACCTTCTGGTCTCCTCCACACACGTATCCCTAAATCAGCAGAACCACTAAACATCAAATTCCCCGCCGCGACAAGACAAAGCACGGCGAGTTTATGACCTTTCAAAACGCCGCCGTTTTTCATATTATTCTCACGTTCCCAAAAATTAACGGTTCCGTCAGACGAACCACAATAAACTAACGTCGCGCTTTGATCAACAGCGATCGCCGTAACGGCACAATCTTGTTTCAATAACGTCTCCGAGAAGAAATGTTTCGTCTCCTTCGCTTGATCTTCTCTTCTCCAAACCTTAACCGTACCATCAGCTGAACCGGTAAAAACCAAACCGTCAAAACCCGAAACGACAGCGTTTACCGCATCTTCATGAGCGTTAACAGATTCCAAACACCGCAAATCCGAAACTCTCCAAACTTTAAACGTTTTATCCCAAGATCCAGAGTACAACAACCTCTTATCTTCGCTTAACGCGAGACACGAAATCGCGTCTAAATGTCGAAACCCTAACGCAGCACTGCTACGATTACGTCGCGTGAAGTTGAAGTAAGAAGAAGGACCAATGGAGTTTCTTATATAATCAAGAAGATTAGGCATTGTACCTACACGACGATGAACGTTTGATTCTTTAGATGCAGCTTTCCACACACGGATCTTACCATCTTGATGACCGGTAAAAATTTTATCTCCAGCAAGTACAATGGCTTTAACCAATCCGCTATTCGATTTAAAACTCGAGAACTCAACATGGTTTTTCCAAACCCTAATGTTCTTGGAATCAGATCCGGTGTAGAGTAAATCTCCTGATGTAGCTAATGAATAGATATGACCTTCTTCGCGAACAAGAGATCCCATGAGAATATTAGGAGAGTGGTTGGTTGTTTTTTCTTTGGTTGTCTCCGTCGTAGCTTTCACCGAATGATACGGTGAATCTACTGCGGATGGATCGACTTGTACGGACCATGGTGATTTGGATAATGGAGAAGAGGAGCCTTCGGAGGGAGAGATATCGACATAGGTAATGTCGTAAATGTCTGGATCTGGAATAGTTTCAACTTTTGTTAGTTTTGTAAATGCTTGGCCATTTACGTCTCTGCTTGTACCTTTCTTATGCATTGAAGACATAAGAAGAAGATGATGAACTTTTTTTTTTTTTTGGTTGGATTTAATTAGACAGAGTTTTAGGTTACGGAGAAGAAGAAGAAAGGTTGGAGAGGATGGTGTCTATATGGAGTTTATTATGGAATTTTTACTTTCTATTTATAGTTTATTCGAAATTGGAACCGTTAATTTATTGGAAGAAGTACAGCTTATTATTAGGTTTGATTAAATAATTTAATGGTCCTAACTCCTAGTAAGTTAGATGAAAACCATCTTTCCGTTGCTTTGGTTTCATAACTTCATAATCTCATAGCAGAATAAACATGTATTGTGATTTTTTTTACCATCACAACATTATTATTTAAATCAAGAAGGTCTGGAAGCATAAAAAATATAGAGCAAGATAGAATATAAGCGAAAGAAAAATTAATGGCTGAGCTTTCCTCTTTCATGCGTGATCACTGATCAGTATAGCCAAGAGGGTCCATAAAATATGATTTGGACCCGTAGTATTCTGTTGATAGTTTTCTTGTTGCATCGTTAGATTTAGATCGAAAAAACTCCGGTACATACCCCAATCTATATTATGCGAGGTAATACGATTTGTTGGAGTTTATTTTCTGTGGAGAAAATTGCAGAAGTGGACCGTTAACCACTTGACTAAATACGCTTTTTCCAATTTAATCTGTTGATTCATATGTTAAAAACTTTGAATGTATACGTGCATGTGAACATTTTAAATAGTTGGTCCCTAAAATAAACATTTTCTTGTCAAGTTTAAGTTGAAAAGTTTTTAGATGTTTGAGAGATTTTGTGCAAACTTTAATAACTTCAAATTAAAATCTAGCATACACAATAACACATAATAAACGTAGTACATAAAGAGAGAGAGAAGAAACTATAAAACACATCACACATGTTGGTTAACCAAACGACACTTGTTTCTCCTCACACGTTATACTTATACTAATTTGTCTACTCCACTCTTTGTCTTTTGTTGTTGGGTCTTTCCACGTCCGAAAAATTTAACGAAGCTGGCCTGAACAATACTGGTTTCATTTTATCTTCTTCAACCGATATTTTTCTGACTTGCTTTTCCATTTTTTCTGATGAGATTCCATCAGTTATCAATCCCATAATGGAGCTTAGAGAGGCGATGCGTTTTCCATCACAATCAAATACCACCTCCTTCTCCTTCTTATGATCAAGTAGTCCTATCACAGAAGACGACAACGACGGTGTAAATTGAAAAAACTCTCCATTTGCATCGCACCAATCTGGAATCGAACCCATGAGTCCCCACTTGTTAGCTCTCAAGTCGTACCCATGAATCATTCGGACGTTATAAGAGCCATTATTAGTCTCTACCCTCAACACTAAACACTTGCCGTCGTAAGCTACCACATTCCAACCAATCAGGCTTGTCTGGTCCAGCACTACGTTCCTGATCTGCCTCACGAGGACCCACTTGGGATTAGTGAGGATATTCTCGAGGGCATAAACGTAAATTACATCCTTAAACGCCGATATCAAGGTTAGGCTGTTGTTGCCGGCGGCGAATAACGCTCTCAGTTCTTGTGGAAATTCGGTTAAAATCAGACGTGCTTGCTCTGTTTCGGGGTTGAAAGCAACGATGCTTCCATCGTTTCGTATCCAGTGAAGAGATCCGTCCAAGTAAACAGGTTTTCTCATACTGATATCGTGATCACTTGTACAGCAAGTAATCTTCGTTTTCGAAAATCTCCATGAATCTCCGGCGTTAATCTCGAATCTATACGTTGTTTCGTCGTTAGGATTTTTTTTTTCCACCTCGGTTATGCAGACAGTTTTGAAACCCTGGGTGGTTCGATCAATTTCATAAACCGCGAACCCGATGTACTTCGTTTCGTGCCCAAGAACCACTGGTAGACTATTAGGCAAACACCTTGACCCAGGTTTATTCAAGAATCGAAACTTTTTTGTAAGGGGATTTGCGACGCAGAGACCATAATTAAGAGAGAGTAGAAGAAGGCCAGAGCAAGAACCTAGAACCCGACACTCCGTTAAGATAGTTTTGGTTCTCGGTGACCTAGTATCTCCCAAAGAGTAATAGCGAAGCGACTTAGAGCCATAGGTGGAGATGTGAAGCAAACCAGATCTGAACCGAGATAAGAATTCGGATTTCAAATACTGGTCCTCGGATATATGTGTCTGGAGAGATCTATTTGTGCATCGCATCATCGCCAAAGATGTGAGATCTGCTCTGAAGAGAATCTCGTTGAGGAGATGCAAAGGTAAGCTTTCCATGATCGGAGAAAATTAGGGTTTTTGGCTTACTTTTTCTTGATTACTATTGTTTTCCGATTTATCGTTTCTGATGCTAGGCTTCAATGAAGGCATTTAATTTATAAGACATAGTAGTTTAATTTGTAAACATCAATAAATATATTAGGAAATGAAATTAATTAACATTTCCTTTTTTCTTGGCTTAAGTACTTAAGGAAATGTTAAAAACCTTTCTAAAAAAAGGAAATGTTAATTAATTAATTAGAAAAATAGTTAGATACTAGATGTTAACCCGCGGTACACCGCGGGCATATATATTATTTGAAATTTTTTGTTGAATTATTAATTTCAATATTTTAGTTGACATATATGTATTTTTTATTAATTTAAATGTATATATTGATGTAGAAGTTGTATATATCTATAAATGGTAGAATTAGTGAATTTCAATATCATTTTAGTAAAAAAAGAGTTATAAACAATTTTAAATATATCACTCACTTGTACTCAATATATTTTCATATTAATAATTTTATAAAATTACACACATAATATATTATATTTGATTTCATTTGAATATATTGAGTTTTGGCCTAATAAAATTTATAGTATTTATGAATTTATATTTAGTGCAAAGGAAATATAAGTGTTAAATGGTGTATTGTTAGAAGATAAAGTGTTTTGTATTTATTTGATGACATTAGTACTAATTGGTAAGATTATAAGTTTAAATAATTCTAATTGGTAAGATTATAAGCTTAAGAGTAATGAAAAACGAATTGATTTGCTCATTAATTTTTGGATTGAATCTTACCACAAAAACAAAAAATATGATTGAAGAAAAATATCCAAAAGTGGAGCAGAGAAAAATAAAGCATAAAACCATCAACATAAGCATTAAGCAGGTCTTTTGATAAAGACTAATTTTGACTATTAGAATCTCTACGTCATTCAACCTCATTGATCAACAAAAAATCATCAGCAGAAGATTTGGCCTCCTCCTTGTCCAATTTAACTTTGAGATCCAACACAATCATCTCAAGGTTCTTGAAGCATTCCTCGAGTTGTTGGACCCGAGACATCAAGCATCGTCTGATTTCTTCCTCTCCAAGGACACCTCCTCAAGATTTGTCTTCAAACAATCCAGCTTGAAGTCCAATCTCATCAGCTCAATATTCTTAACACGTTCATCGAGTTGTAG